GAGCATAGTCTTAAATTTCTTTTTTTTTTCTTAATTTTAGCAAAAACATAAACCCCGAAGGTATCGGCAAGGTTGGCCTACACTGTAGCTAGAGTGAAGGGAGAGAGAGGATTTATTTTGAAGCCTTCAGTCACGTACAAAAATGCCTGTAGGGTTTAGAGTTGGAGGAATTTTTCATTTATTTTCTGTGGTTTGTACCCTTGGAGTTGTAAGGGGAGGTCATGAATGTAAAGAATAAGAATAAACCATATATGTTAAGAAAAAGAAACAAAAACCAAACAAAAAACCCCCCCTATTTTCACATAGCAGTTATGGTTGCAGATTGTCGGCAGTGTTCATTCATTATTACTGTGATTTTACCAAAAGTAAAACTTTCTGAAACAGGGTTAGTAACATTTGTATCCACTTTAAATGTAGTTTAACATTATTAGTATAGAATAGCAGGCACTTTTTTTACTTTAGGTATTTGTTTTGACTAAACACTATAAAGAAGACAAAACTTCTCAATATTTACATGTTGCACAGTTTTATTTGAAATTATGTGGTGTCTCATACTGTTACTGCTTGAATAAATACTTATTTTCCGTGTAGCTTTCTGTTGTGCTTTGTATTTTGGGCTTGTCTAAATGTGTAGTGATTGTTTAAAGTCAAAGGTTAGTGTGTTTTGTAAAACTTTGCTTTACTGAGGTTCTTTTGAGTTAAAGTTGCTCACAGGCAACATCATTGTAAGGTCTTCCTTATACATTGAACAAAATAAGTTTTACTGTAAGTTAGGAGTTTTGATATTGTTGAGTGCTTGATGAACAATTTCAGAAGGTTATTTTCAGTTTATCCAGGTGGGTTTTTTTAGAACTAGAAGTGGTCTCTGCACATATAGCGTTGTAAAGTAAATGAAAGTGATGCTGTAAGGGCAGTCTGATTTTAAGTCTGTAGTGGGTTTTATGCTTTCTGTCCTAAAATATCCATCTGTTAAATTGTAATGGATTTGTGGTTCCCTTGCTAGAAACAACTGCTGCTTATGTATTTCCCCTTCTCCCTTAAACATTCCACTGCTCACTTGAAGAGAGGAGAGGTTTCTAACAAGTCTCATCTGTTGAAACCCTTTACTGTGCCTTCAGCCGAAAGAGGGCACGCGATTTCCACGCGTTAGTGCTGTGCGGTGTTTGCGTTGCGGTAGGACTGAGGGGTGGCAAGCAAGCAAGCATCTCATACCGGCTCCAAGTGAGGTGTTAGAGGAGGACTGGAGATGCACCTCAGTGGCAGGCCATGCTGAACGGAAGCTGAGGAGCTCTTTCCTGTTTTCATTGTACATCCATTGCAGGAACAACTTGGGTAATGACCAAATTATTTTTGAAAATGAGACACTTTCAGCTAAAGGATTAACAGCTCTCAAGGGTCAAACTTCTGATGGAATAGCTAGTAGAGTGTCATACGTTGCATGTCTCACTAATAATACATCTAAAACATAGCTGAGAACAAAGGATATTCAACATCCAATGTTGTTTTCTTAGGCTAATTTAACTGGTTGCATAACTCCCTGCTAAAACTAGCTAGACAAGTTGTAGGTGTAAATATTTTGATGTGCTTTTAATGGCCTCTGGAGGAGACAGGACTTTTTTTTGTAGGTACTTTTCATTAGCATTATGTGAAATTAATGTAAAGTGGTTTTAGAAGTGATGCTGTTTGTATTGCAGTTGAAGTGGTGACCCCATGGATGTTAACTTGTGCTCTAATGTGGGTAGACAAATGGCATCAATAATGCACAACAGATCTGAATTTTTAACAACAAAGCCATTTTTTTCCTTCAGTTCTAATAGTAGGGCTCTCTGCTTCTAAAGCATGCTTTATCGCCATGAGTTTTCTTTGATGGCAAAACATATGCAAGCATACAATCCAATGATAGGCATGAGGTGCTTAGGTGACCATATATCAATTAAAGTTTAGTTATTCCAAGTACTTGGGAGCTACGGCATCATGTGCAGTTCTCTACCTGCAAAGTAGTCATGTTTTGAGGTGAAGGTAGTAGCCTGGCAGCATTGCATTCTTCTTTCAGCTGTGTGAGTTGAAACTCCTAATTATGTTCCTGTTTGATGCAGCATCCAATGGGCAGTTTGTTAAGCACTTGGCAATGCTGCTTTTTTCCTAGTACGTTGCAGCCCTGTCAATGATTATTTTTCTGAGCCCTTCTTTATTGTAAGAAGGAAACACATCTTCTACCCCCTCCATTTTTTTAACATCCTTTTAAAAGCAATAAACAGCAACTATACTGTTTCCTGTTAATCATAATGCTAATACTGAAAAAGAAACTCAAGTAAACAGCCCTCATATATTGAGATAAGTTATTCATTTCAGTTTTAAAGATGACATTTGGGGAGAGAGGTTGTACTCTGCAACAGAGGGAAGTCTCATTAGGCTGGGGAAGAATCATCAGAGATGCTTAAATAGGTAGTTTCTTCCTTGACTCTTGCTGTATTTTATGAGGTATTGCTGTAAAAAGTAGAAGTATTTTTCTCTATGTCTTTTCCATCTCTTTCCAAATAGAGCATGCCACTAGTGATTTTTGCCAAGACCGTGTTTTACTCTGGTGTACAGAATGGTCAGCCAGCAGTCTCAGTGCTGTGCTGTGCGGAAGAGGAATGCAGCAGTTCTCCTGTGTAGCTTGCTGAAAATCTTGCATGTATTCCTAAACTAGTCCCCTATTTCTACTCTTGATGGATCTTAGAAGACTGTATCCACATGTCTCAACAAATTCCATCAATAGCAAATACTACAAACTTATCCATTTGAAAATTGTCCCTTATTCTATCTCCACAAAGCTTAGATTTTTTTTTTGCCTTTAAAATCAGTGTGTACTGGCCTTCTGTTTGTGAACCACTTTTATTTCCGTTCTGCCAGGCTGGACGAACACTGCACAGCTATGGAGAATGAACCAAACACAACGACATGTTCTGCATCTACAACTACTATCACGACCACCTCTACTTCCCGGACGCAGCTACCGCAGATATCTGTCTACAGCGGCTCTGACAGGCATGCTGTCCAGGTACTGGGCTATGAGATCTTCTTTCCTGTCAGTGCTCTCAAATACAGGCATTGCACCATACTTTACAAAAGATTAACTTTCCATTCTTAATTGCTGTCATCTTTCTCAATATCTGACTTTACTGTTTTTCAGAAGATGTTGTTTACTGAAGAATATCAGACCACTTAAGTGTAGTGCAGGGTACAGGCCTGCCTCCCAAATAAGGGAGGGGGGAAATGCTATGATAGAAAGTTTGGTTTTTTCACCATTCCTTAAGGATATGGATTATTAACATGAGCCTTTACAAAATAACACAAAATAAAGCTGTTTGTTTGACCAGCATGGACTACCGGGATCGAGAGGTATCTGTGTGTTAACTGCTGCTTTGGATCCAGCCCCCTCTCGTTGTTCTTTAAATTAGGTCTCCTCGAACTCTGTACGGTCCGTTCTGTTAAGTTTGATACTTGAGCGTGTCTCGCGCTATCCTGATCTTTCAAAAAGTGGAACGTTAAGTAGGACTTGTTGACAAGAACCTAAGAGGCTTGGATGTTGTGCTATGAGAATGATGCTGTATTGTCAGCTCGTTGTCAGGCTTTCCTTGAAAATGTGAATACATTTATGTTGACTATATTCTGTGACTTGGTTGAGAACAGTGATGGAGCAAATTCAGTATTGCATAATTGGTGTGAAAAGTATTTGGTTTTATTTCCTTGTAAAGGTAAACTTCAGCATCATGTCAGCATGGTGTGTGCTTTGTAATTGTAATTAATTACCTACTGATTCATCACAGGTTATTCAGCAGGCCTTGCATCGTCCTCCTAGCTCAGCTGCTCAGTACCTCCAGCAGATGTATGCAGCCCAACAGCAGCATCTAATGCTGCAGACTGCTGCTTTGCAGCAGCAGCACTTAAGCAGTACCCAATTTCAGAGTCTGGCAACTGTACCACAGGTGAGAGTGAAGATTGCTGAAAAAGAATGGTGTACTACTTTTTAGAGTAGGACTACAATTCTAGAGCATTGTCAAACATAGTAACAGCTTAAGTGCCTGAGCTTAATGCCTCACAATAATTCACTGTTATATTTTATTGACTTTGTTATTTTGAATTGTATCTTCCTCCAAACTATTTGGAAGATTTTGTCCAGTGTTATAGATGCTCCAGTAGGCGACCATTCCATGCTTTATTGCATACATTATAATGCATCATGTAAATCATCAAACAGTAATAAAAGAAATACTAAAAATAGACTACTTCAGTCTTCATCTCATAATTTTCTCTAAAAGTTGATGGAGAAAGCATTAAATAGCAGCGTATCTTAGTGAAATCAAATACAAATAATGAACGTCTGGTGTCTTAGTGTGTTTTGCCACACATCTGGCTGCATTTTAAATAATGGCAAATTTTAACTCTAAGTGTGGAAGTGTAGGAAGTAAATGACATTTCATATCTGAAGCACAGCTTTTAACGTTAGTGAACACTGGAGGAGACCCATTTTGAAAACTCACGCACTGGAAAGATTTCCTTTGACCTCAGTTGATCTTGGATTGAGAATGCTGTCTTGCAGAGATAGGTGGTTGTTAATGATTTTACACATGGAAATGTTAAAATGGAGTTAAAGACTTCAGGGAGATAGCTGTTTGTTGTCAGAACTGGGACTGACTCTTCTACACTCCTGGCTTTTTCTTCTATACCTTCCATTAGACTGTGGTAATATATTTATTTGTCTTTTTTTTGTGATGGATTTGTGTGTGCATATACAGTTAGTGAGGCAGAGCAAAGAAAATCAGATTGGAGAAGGGTAAGAAGTTTTGATATGCAGTCTGTTAATACAGAAATCTAAATCACTGTCCCTGTATTCATCTGAAGGGCTGGAGTAGCATACTGTTATAGACACTAGATTTGCATACATAAATTACCATTCTAGCATATGAGGGTGTTTACAGCATTTATAAAGTTTATTTTATTTTTAGAGGATTCTAATCATAATAAAAATTATGGTGTGAGTTTTAATCATGACAGTTTTTAACGATGTCACATTTTGAGTTCTGAGCGCCATAGCTAACAAGCTGATCGGTTAGCTCCATCATTAGCAGTTTGATAGACTTTACCTCTGATAGTTTTTGTTCAAGTCTTGATCTGCAAGAATCTGCAAGTGCCTGAAACTGGGTAGGAATTCAAGGCATTTAGCAACTTGCAGATAGCATTCTGTAGTGCAGAGTGCACTTTGCTGAAAACTAATTCCACTGAGTAAAGCATTTTTACTGTTAACTCGGAGAAAAGGTAATGGTAGAGAGGGATGTTTCTGATGTTTTATGCAATAATATGAACATCACTTAAACACTTTTTGATTTCAATATTTGACACATATTCTTGCTATTTAGGCAAGCCTGTCAGGTGGGAGGCAATGTACTTCCCCCACTGGGAGTGTCACTCAGCAGTCAAGCATGTCGCAGACCTCGGTACGTAACTGAACAAAGCCCTCCATCCATTCTCAAACCCTCTTGGTTATCGTATAACTACTTGGAGAAACAGAAAAGATTTTGAGTATTTAAACTTGTATGGTTAAAATTAGTGTTACAGAAACAGTAAATAGAAGTATGACGACTCTGTAGTAAGTGTTGGCTGTGCTTCCAGCATCTGACAGTCATCCTGATGCATGCTGTCAGCCGCTATCATTGCTGGCCAGTGTTGGAGGCTTCCCTGGTCCCAGCCCACTCTTGGTGCTTTGAGGGGCAGCTGCTCACTCCACAAGCGCTAGTGACTGTTCAGACCACTGCAGGAGTCACTTCCTGAGCTTTCATCTCTTCCGTAATTTCTTATTGGATTTTTCACATTAGTTTCTTTATTCAGGGCATTATTGTAGGTTAAAATCATAAGTGTGTATCAGTGGTTCAAGAGCACCAAATCTAAAGAATCCAAGTTAGTGCTCATGTATATATGAAACTGGTTAAATGTTTATAGTATTCATTCTTTTATTGATTATCATCTTTTATCATGCATCTTTTATGCACTTTCAATTATTTTATCCGTGTGCTCAGGTTTCAGTTGTTAGCAGCTCTGTGTTCAGTTCATGCTGTATTCCTTTAAGCAGCATTTTCAGACATGTAATTTGCACAGTCTTTTATGTACAGTACTACAGTTGTCTTGAGTAAGACTTTGTGAGTCCTACAGACATCCTGCTTGTTAATCATGCCCTCAAGCTATTCATAACTTCAGTGCATAGCTTCAGTGATTTAATTGTATATTTTTTTAAGCTCTCATAGCATTGCTTTGGCTTACAGTTGTTAGAAGTAAAATCATTCATTCATTAAATTTAGGAGGGAAAGTCTTTAAAGATGTCTGATGTTGAACTAATAGAATAATTGGGCTGGGATTTTTCAAGGAAATCTTTGAGTAAGTGATGAAAAAGAGCTGGGCACTTAACTCTGTTAGACTGGTTAGGAAAAAAAAAAAAAAAACAAACCAAAACAACAAAGAACAACAACCAAACCAAAACCACGATAGCTTTTGTTTGAGAAGATGCTAAAGAGCAATGGTTGAGAAGCATTTAATATGAAATTGTAGAAAGTGTCAGTCTCCAGTCATTTTTAAATGTGCGTATGTAGAATGAAGAATCAAAGTCCGTATATGGTGGCACAAAGAAGTGTCCTGTTCAGGTTGCATAACAGAAGATATCAGTCCAGTCAAATAATACAAACATTTCAAGATGCTTAAATATTGAAATTCAGGCATTTTTCTTAAAATATTGCAAGCTTATGCTATATATTCTGTAAATGTGTGTTTCTATGAGGTATATTTTTCAGGCTTCATAATACCATTTTTTACACTTGTGCTTGCTTATTATGATTTACTGCAAAACGGTTGCTTGCAGTTTAAGAATGAAAATGTACAGTCTTGCCAGAATCCAGTTCTGTGACGATTGGCTTGATATATTTTTGATATCTTTACAGTTCAGAGATTTCAACCGCCCCTGCCATATTTGTCAAAGGCTTTCTGGCTTTAGACCCTAGGATGAATGAATTTCCATGACAGAAGCAATATTTTTGTTTCCTTAGATTAACCTCTCCACCTCTCCTACACCTGCACAGATAATAAGCCGTTCACAGACCTCCAACACCACCAGCAGCAGTATTACCCAACAGACTATGTTGCTGGGGAGCACCTCTCCAACCCTGAGTGCCAGCCAGGCTCAAATGTATCTACGAGCTCAAATGGTAAGTCTTGATTACAATTCTTAAGCTTTGTTTTGGTCTGTCCCTGTTGTCTCCCCCTCAAAAAACAAACAAAAAAACCCAAGAGAAAAAAAAACACAGAAAAACACACCACCACCTTAACTGTGTCGGTTTTCATTTTGTTCCTGTAAATTACTTATGGATATTTTTCTTTAGTTTCAGATAGCATTGAGAATTTAGTCACTAATTTGTGAACATGTATTTTCTGAAACTCTGCAGACATCAGAAGTAAAAGGGTTGCTGTAGCTTAGTTCTCTGGTGAAGTTTGCTCAATTGTTTTTAGCCTGGTTGTACAGCAATTATTAAATTGATCAAACATGGGAAAAATAGAAAAAGAGCACCTGTCTTTTCTGGTGATGTAGAAGCCTTGTCTATATTCAAAGTAGATTGTTTTCCAGTGCACTGGTAACATTCAGAGTTCTGAGTCTTGATTAAAGCTTTCTTATATTTAACTAAGATTGTTCTTTGCGTTATTGTCTCTAGAATTTGAGTTAGTTACATAGCTTTCATTCTCTTTGGATTCACGTGAAACTCATTAGATTCTTGCAGTGTCCTGTCAGTATGGCATTTCCGTTTCCTAATGGGTAACTTTGAAAAATCTGGTTAGTGATTTTTTTTTTTATAAATGTAATATTTTCTCTAGTGAGTTTCATATGAATTGAACCTTACAATCTGGGTGGGTTTTCATAGAAATTACTGAAGTTGTACATTGAATGGTCAGGTATCAATCAGTACTTGGTAAAGGCCAAAGACTATTATGGCTTGTGTGAGTTAATGACGAGAGCTTTCTAGTGTTATGTTCAACTACATGAAGTAGGAAGAATCACTGTTATACTACACTGAGATTCGGAGCTGATGTCCATGACTGCAATGGTATATAAAATTAGATGCAGGCATGAGTTCTTGCAGGAATTACACCTATGAAGTATGTTTGGGAAAAGAGATCCTTTGTTCTTTTTCTGGGATTTTCCTTAGGCATGCACAGCAATGCTGTTGTGCTATGTTGAGTTTTTTTCTTTAGCTATTGTTTTCCTAAATGTTTATTGAAAAAGTAGTATAACTTGAAGATAAGGATTTAAAGATCAGACACCTGTTTATCCATTTGCCAGGGAAAGGATTTCTGGAGTCTCTGGTTAGTAAGCAAAGCTAGATACTGAATGCACCTAGTCCGATTTAACAGAACAGGAATCACAAATTCATTTCATATCACTGCCTTTAAATAGGTGTTAACAACTTAGTAGCTGAAGCAATACGAGGCTGACATTGCTGGTTTTTGTAGTAGCAATCTCTCTCAACGACATGGATTATTGATACAGTTTTCCTGTTCATTTACTCTAAATTTTCATCCAGACTCTCAATGTCAAATCCCATGCTGATTTGAATAACTGCTTTAGGTGCCAGTTTCAAGAGGGAGACTTAGCCTATTAGTTTCTATTTAGAATCGTATTGCAAGATCATTTTGTTAGCCTCAGTAGTTTGGACATCATACCTGTCTTTCAGTGTTTCTAGCTAACATACTAGAAGTCACATGTTTTTATCACCAAGATGTTTACTTTTCTTTAAAAAGGTCAACTCTAATTTCTAACTGGCTCATAATAACAGCTTCATCGCCATCTCAATTCAATTTCGGATCAAAACCTTCATGTTTTCTTCTTAGCTGCTCCCTGCAGTTGAGATCTCTGTAAAAACTATGGAAGACTGACTAATGGTCTGTCTTCAAAGCCTTCCACAAAGCTTGCCTTTGCTCTATTGCCTATAAAGAAAGTAATGATAGTTTAGGTATGCTGGCATTCTGAAGTTAGTAGTTTTAAGTTGGTTGTATGATACCTGTTCTTGCTATGAAACTTAATTAACATAGTTAAAAGTTCATATAACAACTCTGCTTGTTAAATGACGTTTTGACAGATTGGAATATCTAAGTTCTCCTTCTTTAATATAGTAGATACTGGACTGCTCTCTTGACTTTTTTGCCTTTTTTTCACTCATTTGTAATATTGGAGGGAAATTCCACTTTAAAATGCTTGTATGCCAGATGACAGGTGTATGTATATGTATGTGACAGACTTTTCTCAATGTGTAGAACAAATATTTTACATTATTATATTTATTTCACATTATCTTTTAGTTTTACTTATTTAAACCACCATGATAAATTTTTTTGAGTAAGTTCATCTAAAAGTGAAAAAATAAATCTTAGCTGTGCATCACTACATATAAGTTATGTATCTCTCTTTAAAATACTGCATTTCTTGCACATATTTTCAAAGTTTCAGTCTGTTACCACGTATTTTATCTTGCTTAACAGCTTATTTTTACTCCTGCGACCACTGTGGCTGCTGTCCAGTCTGATATTCCTGTTGTCTCATCTTCCTCATCTTCCTGTCAGTCTGCAGCTACTCAGGTGAGCTTGTGTAAATTTATTAAAGGTATGTCCAGTACAGTGGGCCAAAACCGAAAAGAAAGGAAACATTGTGCTTAAGTTTACTTGCTTATAAAAACTACTAGTGGGTACTGGTTATGTACAACTTCAGTGGCTTCTGTTTGCCATCATCACAACTTAGAGGTCATGACATTATATGTAAAATTTGGATCCTGGATATGATATTTTATGTCTTCATAATTAGCTCTCATGTTTATTACCTTGAATAACTTTGTTATCAGCTGAACTTGTATCACCTTTTTATTGCTCAACATATTTCTTTAGCATCTGGAAAAAATACATGCCATTGTACAGATCTTGACAGAACATGTCAGTCAGTCTTCTGCTGTGAAAAGCGAACATTTTTCTAACAAATTTATACTCTCATGAGAGATCTTCTCTTCTGTCTTAGTACTTTCTTTAAAAACCTTTGATAAACAGACCTTGTTTAGAAACCTTCTAGAAATCCAAGTAAATTATACCAGTTGAATGTTCTTTGACCTTAAGTTTGTTGACCGTTTCAGAAGATTCTAATAGATTTGAAGACCTTAAAGATGTGTGCCTGTTCTGAGATAATGGTAAATCATTAAAGCATGCCTTCCCTTTGCTTTCCCAGTCAGTATGTGAGGCAGGCAGAGCTTACTGAAATCCAACTGTATTTATGCAGGATGTTGTTGAGCTAGCTCATGATGTTAAGTTCACCAGTTGAGCCTTTGTTGAAAAGACAGACTACTTCTTCAGTCTCGGAGTTATCATGCCTCATTATCCTTTATCACAGCTGCCTCTCCTTCAGATTCTGCAGATCAGGTTTAAAAGTGCAGAGAGGTTACTGGACAGGCTAGCAACTCTTTTTGCATTTCTATCTTTGTCTTTTGTGTTCAAGGTGAAGATGTCACTAAAGCTTATCACTCTACAGTCTTGGTCCTTCTGTATCGCTGGGTTTCAGAAGTCCACTTTGCACAAGCCTGCCTGGCTGTGCAACTTCCTGAGACATCATTGCAGAGGGACAGCAGAATCTCACCCCAGACCATAGAGCATTATTCAGTCAAATGAACTGCTGTGGTGACCCTGCCAAACTCAAGCCATTCCTCTCTGCTCTCAATGTTCGGTACTGTCCTATTGCCAGACCTTGTTAACCTTGGCTGTCTGGTAATTTCTATAGCAGCAATGACGTTGCAAAGATCCAGTTTCGTCCGTAGTCAGTGATGCAATGGAAAAGCTTTAACACTGGTACACTTTATTTTTCTTACTTGTGATAAATACGTCCTTGGGATTTCAGTCAGTTGGGCTTAGAGAAATGTATTTGTTCACTGTATAAGCAAACGTGAGCAAGTAGGCAATGCCAGTTAATAAGAAAAAAAATGCATTTAGTTATATACGTAGATGCGTATATATGTTACACTTAGCCAAGATATTTGTGAAGGTACAGTATAGTGACCTCACAGTATCATCTTCCATGTAGAAATACCAGAGAAACTCAGAAGCTCATCGTTGATTAGCAGCGTCTCAGTGGCACACCTAACATGGCCTGTGAGGTGAACTGACACTTCTCTCCTACTTAATCTGCTTCCCTTCTGCTTTCATACTTTTTTCTTTCCATATGTGTCCCCCTCATATATGACCTGGACATCTCAGATTAGTTACCTTATCTGTTAAGGTATGCTGAAGGTTGATTTGTACTCACAGAGGTAGGATTGCGGTAAATGCCTAATGCGTGCCAATAAGGAAACACATACTGTTGTCTTCAGAACAGGATTTGAATGCATCCTGTGGTATCGCACTGAACAGTAAGAAGTAAAATGTGAACTTGCTGTTTATTACACAAGTACCGTTGAGTGAGGAAGGGATTATGTAATCACAGTAGTGGATAGTGATAATAATTAGTCCTCTTTTTCATGTAAAGTATGATGTAAATTAGTGTTAGAATGATAGTCTTTATCCTTGAAAATAAAATTCTAGCTCAGCATGTAGGATTGGAAATCTGCAATCATTATGTACAGATTCTGGCTGTGATATCAGAGATGTTAGTGAAAATAATTGCTGGCTGATATACATTTCAGAAGGCAAACCTTTTGTGTGACATTGGAAGTGTCATGATGAAAAGCTACATTAATATTGCTATTGAAATAAAGTACTCAGGTTTGTTAAGACATGGATAACATACAGCAGATTCTGGTCCCGTTGCCTACCCAAAGCTCTGGTTTATGTTAGTCTCTGGAAGCATACTTACAGACCACTGCATTTCTGCAGGTCTGTATAAAACTGAAATTGCATTTGCTTAAGATGCTTTGTGTCATTCACTTTGAAGGCATGATAAAAGAGAAGAAAATGCAAGTTTTCATTCAAATTAATGTAATGAACAATTTCCGTTTCTTTTGAGAATTTAGTGAGAAAAAAAGACTTTTCTGTATTTTCTTTATCACTGAATTAATTCAAAGTCCCTATTCTTCTCTAAATTTTGTGGTTTAAAAGATACTTTGATACGCAGATTTTTTATTTCTCATGTATTTTGATCACGTGGGATGAGAAAAATTATATAACATTTTTTTTACTATTTTTGCCTGGATATTTGTCATAGTTGTTTATATGGTTTGGGTCTTTTCATATTTTGCTCACTTCCCAGGTTCAGAACTTGACGTTGCGCAGTCAGAAGTTGGGTGTATTGTCAAGTTCGCAGAATGGCCCACCAAAGAGCAGCAGTCAAAGTCAGTCATTGTCTCTGTGCTCTAATAAACCTGTAACCAGTTCCAAGGGCAGCCAACCAGATCCCTCAGAAAGTAATAGAAAAGGCGAGAGCCCAACTCCAGAGTGTCGGAGTACAGCAGTCACACGGACATCAAGCATACATCACTTAATAACACCAGGTAAGATGAAAATGGAGCTGTAAAAGTTATTTTAATTAAAGTTAATTTGCATGTTATGGTTCTGTCAGGGTCCAATGCTCTCTGACCAGGTTCTTTTAGATATTCCACATGAATAGAGTTTAATGTTTAATAGTAAACGTACTTACTTGTTAATATTGGATATTACATAGGATGTTGATTTAGCAGAGTGATACGACAACATTCTTAAATCAGAATACAAGCACAGTATAGCAATTGCAATACACAGTTGAATCACACAGTACAAACATGATTCTCATTACTGGTCTCTCTGTGTGCTCATTTTTGGGACATGTCATCCACAATCTCTGAGAAGCAATACGTGGGGTGAAACCACCTCAAGCCTCTTGCTCTCAACAAAATATATTTTGTTGGTGGTACATTCATTTTTTTTTTGTCCTGTCTTGTCTGTGTCATCAGAATGTTCTTATAAGTACTTTTACAAATCCATAGCTAGTAGTGCCCCAGAATCTTAGTATTTTGTATTAAGAGATAAATCAAAATAAGCATGCAGTTGGTTAGATAGACATTTACATTGCATGCAATGTATTTGCATTTTAGCTTCCTTATTTTGAAAGAGTAAGGGTAGTCTAGACAATTGGTCTGAATTCTATGGAATTTAGCTTGGTTTAATGGTAGCTTTTAGAGAAGGAGTAAAACTGTGAGGCAGACCTTCTTGACATATTGAGCCCTAATGCTCTTAGAACTCACTTCTGTAAGGAAAAAATTCATCTTCACTAGCAGAATAAATAATAAAAAAGACACATAAATGAGTTGTTTCTCAAGTGGAAAAGACAAAGCAAGGAGAGGTTTGCATGTGGAGGAAAATACGTGTGCGTGTGCTCTAAGGAATTATTAGTGAGTCACTGGTTCACTTAAAGATCTTGTGATGTCTGTGGAAGCTGCACTGGTTTTTAATTCATACCTTTCAGTTTGTGTGTTCGAATTCAGGAAAATACTTTGAAAGGTTTTAATTCATACTGAACTCTTGGAATTTTGTTTTGTCTCTTAAAATTGTATTACCTAAACTTTAACTTCACAGTTATCAACAAATCCTCTTGATTGTGACATGCTTATCTCTTCTATTCCAGTCTGTTTCAAAGCAAAGGTTAAGTCCATTTAAAGTTGTATGAAGTTCTTAAATAAGCAAAGGCTGGATCAGCAATAATCTTAGAACTAGCATCAAAAAGAAAAGTTCAGATACTTTTATGTAGAAAATACATGTATTTGTATGTATATGTAAAAAGCATGGCTGTATTCCTTTACTCATTGCTGGATTTTGCTTTGGAAATTGGTATAAAATTTCGCTGATAAATTGTTCTTGTGTACTATATGCTGTCAAAGAAGATATTTCTAAACATAGATCCAAAGGGTTGAAAAAGCTATGCTGGTCTTACTTCAAAGTAAAAACTTCCTTTCTTTTACTATTTTTGTAATATTCTCTGGACTCGAAGAAGTAAATACTAATTGTCACTTTTTTTCCCCCCTCACAGCTTCATATTCTCCATTGCAACCTCATTCTCTAGTGAAACATCAGCAGATCCCACTTCATTCACCACCTCCAAAGATTTCCCATCATCAGCTGATATTGCAACAGCAGCAGCAAGTCCAGCCCATTGCACTTCAGACTCCTTCGGGTCAGGAACCCCCTCCATCACAGCACTGTCTACCACTCCCAAGCCATGGTCTTCCTCCGGGTCCCAGCAGTGTCCAGTCTCATTGCTCACCTATTCACGTCCATCCTCCACCTCTAACACTATCTCCTACTCCATCCCAGTCAGCTCAGCAGTCAGTAGTGGTATCCCCTCCACCTTCTCACTCCCCTAGTCAGTCACCCACAATAATTATTCACCCTCAAGCACTTGTTCAATCACAGGCAAACTCCCTCGTGCCAACAGCTCTTCAACCAGAGCACACTGCTTCTCAGCAAACTACTACCAATCCAGCTCGACCAATTGCACAGCCACTTAATCTTCCGTCGCATCTTCCACTTCCGTCTTCCCCTGCTGTACATATAGGGTCAGTAGATCAGCCCAGCTTAGTTTCACCAGGCCAGCAGATCGTGCCCTCAACACCACACCAGCAATATTCAGCCTTGCAGTCCACACCTATCCCTCTTGCAGCTCCTCCTCAGCTGTCAGCATCTTCAACCCAGATTCAACAACTGCCATTGCAGTCTGTGCAGTCTTTACAAGTGCAGCCTGAAATTCTGTCCCAGGGCCAGGTTTTGGTTCAAAACACTTTGGTTTCTGAGGAAGAACTTCCTGCTGCAGAAGCTTTGGTCCAGCTGCCATTTCAAAACCTTCCACCACCACAGACTGTTGCAGTAAATCTTCAGGTGCAGCCATCGGTACCAATTGAAACTCCAGTGGTAAGTGGTAATATTGCAGTCCTTTATTCTTTATTCTTGGCTTCTCTAAAGAGGTGTAAATCTTGCCCATTGACTTCAGAGGGAGCTAAACCCGGTGCTAGACAGAGGACCAGAAGAAACCTATTGGTCACAGAAATGAGTTTTAAGAAAACAATAGACATCTTCCTCTGGGGTGGTTTTTTTGACTTTTTGCAATGGATCATCAGTCAAGCATATTAACCAAGAATCATGAAAGTGCAACTTTTTGACCTAAGATCTTATCTCTTAATGAAATTGCAGCATATCTAAAGTTTAAAATAAGCCCAAGTAAATATATATCAACATTTAAATCAAAATGAGTTTTGGTAAATACACCATATGGACTGTAAGCTTTTGCCTCTTTGTTAATACAAATGTAATATAGGCAATCGAAATTTTGAGTAGGAGAATCACCTCTATACTAGGTGTGAAGATGCATAGCAGATTATTAAGATAATAGAGTTCTGGATAATTAATTTTGTACTAACATTGAAAAGATCCTCTTCATAAAAAATAGGGGAATTTTTGATGCTGTCTTGGTGTTCCCTGTTGCTGCCATTTAATTTAGTTCAATGTTAGTCTCAGGTGTTTGCAGTTTGTAACTAAAGGTTTCAGCTTCACTCTCACTGAACTAAAATCATGTACAGTAAAATATCAGTGAAATAAAATTATATGCAAATAATGATGACATTTAACATGGCAGTACTAGGCTTTAGTGGTAACATGCTGATGAAATAAACATGAGCAAAAGAATCAACAGCTTTTGTAGGGTTTCTTCAGGCTACCAACGAGCTGAGGAAGAAGGTGTGCTGTTTAATTTGTATTAAGAGGGTAATGATAATCTCAACTCTGTGTGGTACTTCACGTAGAAATTGGGCAAAAGAGTAGAAGCCAGTTTGCTTTTGACAAGGTGGTGGTTTACATCCTAATCTGCTAAACTGGCTGCCAGTAATTAACATGAATTTACTTTAATAGTTTTGAGGAAAATACCTTATCTCCTACAACTACTAATACCTGATAGTCTTGGTGTGCTGTTCAGAAATACTCAGTTTGATTACACTGCTCTATAAGATAGAGAACAATTTGCAGACTTGTCATTGTGTCATAAAGCTTGCATTTTGCAGAAGTGTTTAAATAGCTACAAATGTTTATGTAAAAAATACAGTAAACTATAAAGATAAGATGTTGAAAAAGTCAAGTTCTCTGATCTGTTTGATAGGAGAACTGTACCTTTTTATATTTTGCTATTTGTAGCAAAGTAATTTTGCTGTCATAGGCATTGTGATGTCCTCAGAGTTCGTTATTTTGTACGCAGTTTGAAAACTAGTATTGTATTAGGAGATTAGCGTATTTTAACACTTTAACTGGTAAATTATTTTAAAAACTGTATTTATGCAACTCTTTTAAGGTATTAAGATAGAATGGAAATCTCTCTAAAGCAATAGTTTGTTGGATGCAGATTTACCAAGTGGAGAATGTATGTGAAGAAGAGATGCCCGAGGAATCGGATTGTGTCCATATGGCT